GGTCTCTATAGACTCGGAAACTACTGAACCGATTTAGCTGAAATTTTCAGGATATGTTTGTTGTGATACCGGATTTTGAACCGTCGTGGTTTGAAATTCAACCTGTCACTGTTAGAGATAGGTGACCACAATTAATGCCAAAATATACGCAACTAATATTTATAACTTTAGTGATTTCTAATTATAGCCACGTTAGTAATTGCGCATGCGCCGTATTTACCATTCGCCGGCGAGTTACGTGCAGCCAACGCCTTCTCTAATACTAATACATAGAGTAGGTCGTGGTACAGCAAACAAGACTATCTCTATATTTGCCACAATAACCATATTAAACACGATTTCTATTTTCTTTTTTTTTTTTTCAAACAACCTTCGATGGGGGGGGGGGGCAATCAAGGACTATCTCGACGTCGGCGCAGACATTGACTGCGTCATTAACTTCATTAGACAGGTGCGATTTCCATTGTCTTTCTTTTCTAAAAACCTTTGATGAGGGAGAGGGTACTAGGTGGATTTAGTTGTGGGGGTGGGGGGGGGGTCAAAGACTATCTCAAATTACGCCACAGCAACGCGTGGCCGGGTACAGCTAGTATATTTACTAAAAACAGAATTTATGGAGGTTTCTAGTAAACAATATGGCTACTTTGAAGCCGCTCAGATGTCATAAATTTATAGTAGCTCTAGCGTTAGAATTCCTACAATATCACAGCATCGGTTATCTGATACATTTTTTCAGGCCCAGTAGTATTAAATCCAGTTCATTCTATTTATAAATGAATATATTTTTGAAATGTTAATGACCTGCATAAGACTTGTCTATTTAGGCAATTTTGTATATATATTTGTGTGTGGGGGGGTGGAAGGGGGGGGGGGGGGATAATTAGTTTTCCGAAGGGCTTCCTAGGTGAAAGGGTTAAACTAAACTGCAGATGGGCAATTTGAAAAACTAATAAATAACATGTATAAATTATGCAGAGACCAAACTAGTGATAACTTATAATTTAACACAAATAGTTTAGACTCAGAAATATTCACAAAATTCATGACAATTACATACCAAAACACAAAAACAGTAAATGCTAATATACAGAGTATGCCCCCCCCCCCCCCCCAAAAAAAAAACACCTTGACAGATGTCATTATGTATGCATTTTTTTTTTTCAAAGTTAGAAAAGATACCTGTAGCAATAATGCAGTTTGATGTTCTCTCAGAACAGAAGCCATTACTCACATGCTGGTTAGACATTTACCTGCTGGACCAAAGATCTTGGGGTTGAGTCCACACTGAGGTAGATTATTTTATAATTGACCTTGGCACCAGACAACTAAAACAGGTACCGGAACATTTCCTGGAAAGCAGAGGCACTACAGGATGTTGACCGTACCATCCATTAAAGGCTGTCTGGTCTATAAAAATATGGCTTTAGCACCAAATGTCTGTGCGGCGTCCGTGGCTTAGGCACTGCGAGTCCAACTCATAATTCCAACGTACCGAGATCGAAACCCACTGCTGGCTGTGTGGATTTTTATTATGGTATGGGGCGTCGCAGGTCAACTTAGCCTAAAATGGGTACCAGGATGGCTGTCCTGGGGAAGTAAAGACAGCTGGCGTAATGCATACCACATTACCCACCTAGTGCTGATAGTCTGTAAAAAATATAGGCGCTCTTCCTATTTACCCGATATGTCTAAAAGGCGTGAAAAGGGATCTTTACCCTCACCAAATGTCTGTCTTTGCAATTGTCACGAATTTGACGATTATCGAATTTGGTCACCAAGGGATATGAAAGGAAATTCAACGATCGTCGAATCTGATCAGGAAAGTGTTAATAGGGTGATTTTCTTTTACTGAAACGTGTATTAATACTGTTGTTATTGTTGCATATTCTATTTGGAGATAAGGTGTACATGATCAATAAGAGATGTAAGGTGCCTCCTTCTAACTCTATCACTGTTATCTGTAAATTATTTTCTTGTCGCATACTCACAGTGTGTCACCTCATCTTAAAATAATTTTCTTACCACTTGCTCAAAGTTTATAATCTCCTTTGTATTTATTTTCTAATTACACACCGAAATACTCCACTGTGTCTCATTTTCTTGCTACTTATCCAAATACTCCACTGTGTCTCATTTTCTAGTTACATACCCAAATACTCCACTGTGTCTCATTTTCTAGTTACATACCCAAATACTCCACTGTGTCTCATTTTCTAGTTACATACCCAAATACTCCACTGTGTCTCATTTTCTAGTTACATACTCAAATACTCCCCTGTTTCTCATTTTCTAGTTACATGTCCAAATACTCCACTGTGTCTCATTTTCTAGTTACATATCCAAATACTCCACTGTGTCTCATTTTCTAGTTACATATCCAAATACTCCACTGTGTCTCATTTTCTAGTTACATACCCAAATACTCCACTGTGTCTCATTTTCTAGTTACATACCCAAATACTCCACTGTGTCTCATTTTCTAGTTACATACCCAAATACTCCACTGTGTCTCATTTTCTAGTTACATACCCAAATACTCCCCTGTTTCTCATTTTCTAGTTACATGTCCAAATACTCCACTGTGTCTCATTTTCTAGTTTCATATCCAAATACTCCACTGTGTCTCATCTTCTAGTTACATATCCAAATACTCCACTGTGTCTCATTTTCTAGTTACATTTCCAAATACTCCACTGTGTCTCATTTTCTAGTTACATACCCAAATACTCCCCTGTTTCTCATTTTCTATTTACATATCCAAATACTCCACTGTGTCTCATTTTCTATTTACATAACCAAATACTCCACTGTGTCTTATTTTCTAGTTACATAACCAGATACTCCACTGTGTCTCATTTTCTAGTTACATACCCCAATACTTTACTCCATCGTATATCAATTTCTAATTACACACCCAAATACTTCAACCCTATATCAATTACTAGTTACATACCTGAATACTTTACTCCACCATATATCGATTTCTAATTACATGCCCATATACTTAAACTGTATATCAAATTCTAGTTACATACCCCAATACTTTACTCCATCGTATATCAATTTCTAATTACACACCCAAATACTTCAACCCTATATCAATTACTAGTTACATACCTGAATACTTTACTCCACCATATATCGATTTCTAATTACATGCCCATATACTTAAACTGTATATCAATTTCTAGTTGCATATCCCATATTTCACGCCACCGTATATAAATTTCTAGTCGCATATCCCACACTTTACTCCACCGTATATCAATTTCTAGTTGCATATCCCATACTTTACTCCACCGTAAATCAATTTTCTAGTTGCATATCCCATACTTTACTCCACCATATATCAATTTCTAGTTACATGCACCAATGCTTTACTCCACTATATATAATTTTCTTGTTACATATCCTAACATACATAACTTTATCTGTATACTACTTTATTGCAACATTAGTATTTGATCTACTAACCACATACATTCAGCATATAACATCCTCAGAGCATTCCCTACCCACACATCTTATCTACATAACTTTTGCAAACTGCTTATCCCAATGTAGGTGATTTCATATGTATATCATTGAATTACTGACACTGATTACAGAATTGACATCAGAGCAAAACAGACATTTGGGAAGGAGGCACCATATATCATTTAAATCAAATGCTAATCTCCTCCTCTCTAGTACATCACTTCTTCTTCTTGTGTTTGCTTTCTGATTTACACCGACAGACAGGCTCTTGTGATAAACTTGACCGTTTTTATGAGTTCCTTTTTAATCCCAAACAACTTTGTGTACAGTGGTGACTCACTGGGCCAGTATTCCCTTCTTAATGGGCTGAAAAATGGAGATGTTCTGTAGTCTGCACACATAGCCCACAGGAGCACAAAGGTGAACTACTTACTTAGACTGTGCATATACTGGTTAAGTTTATGTCCTGTCCTGAGAGGTAGTATAATGACCTGCCTATGCCGGTCAAGTAAGTGGTAGTCATCTCTGGTCAGACTCTGTTCATTTCTAGCCTGGATGGTCCTTTTCTTCTCATAGTACATCACTTCATCTGCATATTGTTTGCTAACCATATGTTCCTAGTAGGCATATCATTCAGTAAAAACATCCCTTAAGTTACTTCATACCAATACCATTTAAATCATATGTCAACCACATACCTCCAGTGCATCACTTCATCTGTACATTATGTTTCTAGTGCATCAATTCCTCAACTTATCATCTGGTAAAATACATACCCTAATTAGTCCCTTCATTCAAAGTATTCAAGTACACCAGTTGATCTATATGTCATCTAATAGCCTTTGCTTCCCAGGACTGAACCTGGTACCCACCAAAGCCTGGGTTGACCTGCAAGCCAAGGTCATTTCTAACACGAACCCATGACCTTTTGATCCGCAGGCGAGCATCTAGCTGCTACGCCACAGGGACTTCCCTTACCTCCAGTGCATCACTTTGTATATTATTTGCCAAACATGTTTCCAGTGCATCAATTCATCAACATATCATCTGGTAAAAAACATACCCTAATTAATCCCTTCAGCGCTTTCTTAATATCCTACCCCAAACGGGAAATCCACAGGTCACGGGACAGTCTAATATTTCAGGGGGTGGTAGGCTGCATGCAGTCATGGGACCTAGGCTGTACTCTCTCATGGGACATGGGTAGGTTGGGGTTAGGGCCAGTTCTAGATGTTTTAGGGTCATTAAAAGCATCAGAAAGCCGGGAAACCCAGTCATACCACCTGCTAAAATGTTGGACTGTCCTGGTACGTCATCTGGGGTAGGATATTACAAAAGAACCGTCCCTTCATTCAAAGTATTCAGGGACACCACTATATCTTTATCTACTAACCATATACCCCAGTACAGCACTTTCAAAATCACACACATAAAAGCCATGAGATTTTGATGAATTGGCAAACATGTTTTTGATTTCAAACAAAAGACTAATATTCTTGTCTGGTGCACTCAATTATCTGACATCACTTGCTCATTTCTGGCCAGTATTGTAAGCGGACTTTCTTCACAGTCCCATCAAAAACCCGGTCCATCCATATTGACAATCCAGAGAGGAGCTCATCTTCAAAGATAACAGCTTCCTCTCTAGACTTTCCTTCTTCACTTGAAGAGTCTGTATCAGAGTCTCCAAATCCAACAGCTTTTGTAACATCACGACCTCTCTGATGTCGAATCCACCTGAGAAGAAGATGCTTGTATTAAAATATGCAGTGAGATCAGAGAATGTCATATAGATCTATTCTAGAATTATGTGAATGAATTCTCAAGATTTATAAATACTCTTGGCAATTTACAAGAAACGAACTAAAATATCGTTTGACCAAGGAAAAAAACCACCAAATTATTTTTCATGCCCATTAAGGTCAAATCGACTTCCTGGCCAGCTAAACTCCAAGCATATTTCCAGACCAGCTAAAGATGGAAGCAACTTCCTGACCAGCTAAAGTGCAAACTTAATTTCTGGCCAGCTGAAGTCCACACTTACTTCCCGGCCAGCTAAACTCCAACTTACTTCTTGGCCAGCTAAACTCCAACTTACTTCCCGGCCAGCTAAACTCCAACTTACTTCTTGGCCAGCTAAAGTTGAATGTTACTTTCTGGCCAGCTAAATTCCACACGTATTTAATGGCCAGCTAAGCACCAAACTCACTTCCTAGCCAGCTAAAGTTTAAAGCTACTTCCTGGCCAGCTAAACTCCAAACTTACTTCTGAGCCAGCTAAACTCCAAACTTACTTCTGAGCCAGCTAAACTCCAAACTTACTTCTGAGCCAGCTAAACTCCAAACTTATTTCTTGGCCACCTGAAGGCCACACTTACTTCTTGCCAGCTAAAATTAAAACTTACTTCTGGGCCAGCTTAACTTCAAACTTACTTTCTGGTCCACTAAAGCCTGGAGTTGCTTCATGTCCAATTTAAGCCCAAACTTACTGCTCAGCCCACTGAGGCCCCAATTTACTTCATGTCCCCCTAAACTTAAATTTACCTCTCAGCCCACTAAAGCTCTAACTTACTTCATGTCCCAACTTACCTCCTGACCAACTAAGGCCCCGACTTACTTCATGTCCCACTTTGGCCCAAACTGACTTCTCAGCCCACATAAACTCAATTATACCCGATTAAAACCCAAACTTACTTCTAAGCCCACTAAAGCCCTAACTTTCTTCATGTCCCACTTAAGCCCAAACTTACTTCTCAGCCCACTAAAACCCAATTAAAACCCAAACTTACTTCTAAACCCATTAAAGATCTAACTTACTTCATAGCCCCCCCCCCCTCCCCCCACCCCCTCAAACTTACTTCCTGGCTCGCTTGGGGTGATAGATGTAGTAGTATTTGCGGTCGCCGTTGATGGCCAGGACAGTGCCCACACAGTTCCGGTTGTTGATGGACTCCAGGGTGACCTTGAAGTCCATGCTCAGTTCCAGCAGGTGGCGGTACCAGTCCAGGTAGTACTCCAGCTGTAGAAAGGCAAAGGTCAGGCCGCTGTACCTGCAACAAACAACCAGAATAATGATTTATTACTGCTGCCAAACCAGCTGTTGCCTCAACTTTTCATCCTCCTCCAATGTTTTCTTTTCATCTTCATTGACCTTCATCTTTTATTTTTTTCTCCTACCCCTTTCCATTCTCTTCCATCTCTCCAGCTTCTTTTATCTTTAAATCCTCATACATCTCCATTTTCCTTCATCTGCATCTTTCCATCCTCCTCTGCATTTGTCTATCCTAAACGACTTCAATCTTTCCATCCTCTCCAGACATCATCTTTCCATCCTTCTCTTGTCTCCATCTTTCCATCCGCCTACATCGTCCTCTTTCCACCTTTGTGATTTACTTCATTCCAGCCCCTCCACATCCTTTCCAGGCTTCTCCACCATCTTTCCCTTCTCCCTCACTCATTTATTTGTCCATCCTACCCACCTTCTTCATTCCAGTCTCCCATACTTCCTTCTTTCCAACCTCCTCCACCATCTTTCTCTTCTCCCCCACTCCTTCATCTTTCCATCTTACCCACCTTCTTCATTCAAGCCTCCAAAACTTCCCTCTTTCAAACCTCCTCAACCATCTTTCCCTTCTTCTCCCACTCCATCTTTCCATCCTGCATCCCCTTTTTCATTCCAGTCTCCCATACTTCCTTCTTTCCAGCCTCCTCAACCATCTTTCTTCTTAATCTCCTCCACCCCTTTCTTTTCTAACCTTCTCCACATCCATTTTTTTAATCTCTTAGCTCAGCTGCCACCAAGGCTAAGGGTCTGGTCTGTCCTGCTGTAACATCCAGTTTTCAGGTTGCATTTCCTCTTCCAAGAATAAGGCCAGTATCCTCCGCAATGTGCTCATCTGCAATTTAGTTGTGTATCATCCTTCATAGCACACTATAGAACCAACCCCAGCATTTTTTGGCTGTGTGTGATTTCACTAGGGAATTTTACATTCAGCAGTTTGGCATTGCTTCCTGAACAGTTAGCTTTCTATAGTAAATTAAAGATCCTTTTTCACACCTTAAGGCACATTGGGCAGATGGGAAGAACGCACATATTTTTACAGACCAATCGGCACTAGGTGGGTAATGTGGTCAGCATTACGCAGGCCGTCTTTACTTCCCCAGGACAAAAATCCTGGTACCTATTTAAGGCTAGGTCGACCTGTGACACCCCTATACTGTGAAAAAATGCACACAGCCAGCAGTGGGTTTCCATCACGGTATGTTGGAATTATGAGTCGGACTTGCAACGCCTAAGACACTGACGCCGCTTAGCTTTCTATTACACTGTTAAAACCAAATCATGGTATAACAAAGCACTGTTGCAAGGCCTAAGCCTCAAACACCGACAGATCTTTCTCAATCTCGGTATCATCATCATCAGGTGCCTTGCCGACTGGCGTGGGCAATCATGCCTCTTTACAATCTGCGATCTCCTGCAGCATGTATCAGTTCGTGTGCCAACACACCTCCATGCCATGCAACAAGACTGTCAAGAATCTTCTCTCGTTGTCGTCTTCTATCCCTCCTTCAACAGATCTTTCCGGTGATTACAACATGTTCTATTTTCACAACATGGTCGAAAAATGATGACTGTCTCCCTCTGATGTCTGTGATAAGTTGTCTTCAGGTTTCCACCTCTTTCAAAACCTCTTGGTTGCTTTTTTTTTTGTTTTTTGGCTGTCCAAGGTATTCTAAGCATTCTTCTGTAATACTACATCTCTGAGGCCTCAAGAAATAATCCTTGGTATACCATCAGTTAAATAAGTAACTTTGACAGAACAAGATCATAAACTCTCTGAGTCCCAAGGAACGCATCATATGTTCATAGATTCCTACCTAGAAGCCCAATGAACGAATGATGCGTCGATTTTATTACTTTCTTTACTACGCCCTGGGCCTGTGATGCTAAACCACCTGGGACTCAAAGAGTTAAGCATTCAATTCTGAGGACACAAGGCACCCACCTGGAAAAGGGCTGCATGATTTCAGCAAACCTGCGCATGAGTTTATCCTTGGTATGCTCGTCTACAAGGAGTGTTACCGTCAACCCTGTGTCTGATTCAGATATCAGGTTGTGGAATGTCTCACACCTCAGCTCATACAGATGAATCGTCTGGTTGTCTGGGGAGCTGAAATGAAAAAAACACGAACAAATATGGACATCTGGGATTCAAAGCCACCGATTTGTATAGAATTATATCAGGGCTCCTAAATTCATTCAGGATCCAGAATGTTGAAAATGGGAATCATCATGGCCAGAGGTCCACGCCACAGGACAAAAATATTTAAAACTGTGAAAGAGGGGGGGGGGGGGTGTAGGAAGATCTATATTATGACTGGCAATTATACGCAAGCCACTTGCTATGATTAACAGGCCACTTGCTTTGATCCACAGGCCACCTGCTTTGATTAGCAGGCCACTTGCTATGATCAGCAGGCCACTTGCTATGATTACCAGGCCACTTGCTATGATTACCAGGCCACTTGCTATGATCAGCAGGCCACTTGCTATGATCCACAGGCTACTTGCTATGATCCGCAGACCACTTGCTATGATCATCATGCCACTTGCTATGATCAACATGCCATTTGCTATGATAAACAGGCCACTTGCAATGATCCACAGGCCACTTGCAATGATCCACAGGCTATTTGCAATGATCCACAGGCCAGCAGCTGAACAGCCCTATATTATATCACCATCATCAATTCAAACATTCTGTTGTGCCATTACAAGAGGGGAATTCAATAAGTAAGTTTATCTTTACACATACACTATCCCTTTATTTTTCAACATATTTTCCAACAACACTGATGCACTTGGCCCATTGTTTTATCAGTCCACTTAAACCTTCTGCATAGAACTATGCTCAGCTTTCTAAACCACATTTTCACTTCACATTCAAGGTTGGTTTTCAGTGGACCAAAAAAGTGGAAATCGCTACAGGCTTAGTTGGGGCTGTAAAGTGGATGTTCCAGAAGTTCCCAACTTAGATGGGTAATTTTTTCCTGAGTTAACCGAGCCATATGTGGTCTAGCATTGTCATGAAGGAGCAGTACTCCTCTAGTCAGCAGGCCTGGATGTTTTTTCGGATTGCATCAAGAAGCATCAATAGAAATTTACAGTATGAATCAGCTTTCACATTGTCACCTTTTTTTTTTAAATTGGTTAAAAACACTCCCTGACAATCCCAGTACACTGTCAGCCAAACATTCAATGCTGATGGTGCAACCTTGAATTTTTAAACACAAAGTGAAGAAGGATGTTTTCACTGCACTGAAGCATGCTTTGATTTGGGCTGATAGCGATGCACCAGTGTGGGTTCTGAGTTGCCTAATAAGCATGTCATAAAAGGCAACTAATTAGGAGTTGCTGTTGTTATCGATCCAGCTGCGCATGAGCTTTTGCCCTCTGGCCCAATGCCATGCAGTGGAATTTATGTTTTCACAAGCTGTTCTGTTCCTCCGTACAAGGCGTTCCACTTCTCTAGTCTCAGCGAGAGTAGCATTCTTCTAGCCTTGCTGAGTTTAGGACACTCAAAGAGACGATGGTCAACAGTTTTATAGGGGCAGTTACATAGCTGGCACTCTGGGGAGTGTTGCGGCTGTATTCTATCTAGATACCTATTGAGTGGGATGGTCAGGGTGATTAGGAGTACAGGGTCTCCTTGACTTGGGACAGGGGTTTTGTTTCTATTAACATGTCATAAGTCGAACTGGCTGTAAGTTGAATTTACATTTGTCAACATTCTTTTCATTCAAACGGTTATACAACTGTACATACAACTTAAAATGCAATATGCATGCCTACAATTATTGTACATAATGGGAAAATACACAAATATTTACTCTACAGGAACCTTTTTACCATACCAATGTAGTTCTCTTTATTTATTTACAGGTTTTTTGTTTGTGTGTGTGCATGTATAAGTGCGGATGGTTGTAATTTGCATAGGATGTAAGACGAGAAAAAGGTGTATTCTTCTTCTTCTTTCGTTCACTTGAAATAGATATCTAAATCTGCAATGTTGTCTCTAGTATGAACGTCACTGTCTTTTGTAATTCACTAAGCGACCCGTAAAGTTTGACTTGCACCGATGTTTCTCTTGGCCAAAAGTTTTTTTTTTTTTTTTTTTGCTGTGATATTTTGTATTTAGGACAGTCTTGGAGGATGTGCAGGACCAACAGTAGCAGATGTTGATCCTAGCTGTAAACTACAACACAATGTGCCAACTGCCTTTTTAAGGGCAAAAAAGAAGAAGAATATATGTTTTATTTTCCAAACTCAGAGACAAACATGAGAGAATCATACAAACCAAGAAGGAGGCCTCTGCTGGGCCTTCCTTGACAGCCGTTTCTTCTTCATCTCTTCAGCTTCAGCTGCTGCCAGTCTGTTCATGCTGAAGGTGACGGCCACAATGAAACCAAGAGCAGCTAGTGCTGTCAGGACAGTCATCCCATCGTAGCTGTTGAGACAATCATATATTTTTTAATTACTGTACTTGTATTAGAAATCTCCATTTGTTTATGAAGCTCACAAGAGAAGCTTATTCTACTTCGCTGCTCGCCCTTAAAATGGTCACTAGTACACAGTTAGGCTATATTTGCTCCATTTGGCCCAAAACATCACATTTCAGCAAATTAGTAACCTTTTACAGCATGACGTGTGCTCTGAAGGACAGGGGTTCGTTTCAGGGCAGCACTGTTCAGTTCACAAGTGCAATTTTCACTGAGATCCCGGTGAATCATTGCCGGAGCTACGGAGGTCATACTTTGTGCAATGCTCAGGGCAGGCAGCTAGCTGTTCTGCTGAGAGACTGTGCCATACATACAAACTTCAGGGCCCCACTGTGGGGAAAAGGGGGAGAATAGAATCACTGAACCTACCCCCCCCCTCCCCTCTCCCACAATCATGTTTTAAAAGGCACTAATTAGGGGTTTTTCCCTTCGAAGATCGAGGGCACCTGCCTGTGAGGCAAGGAACCAGAAGTCTACATATAACTAAGCCAGATCTGTAAAACTGATGTGCATGACAAACTCAAGTTCTGGAACAAGACTAAGTCCAGAAGTGGACGAACAACCAGAACTTCCTGCTGGAGTTTACAGCCGATGAATGTTGAGAAGAAGAAGACATAAGGCAACACAAAATTAACAGTGAATGGGGGTTAAACTTATGACTCCGGCGTCAACAGGCAAACAGGCATCCCACAGCTCTCTCTGACCCCCCATAATAAAAAAACAATTGACCTAAAACATGCTGACCTTGTACAGTACATGAAGATCCTGTCGTACCAGTCGTAGAGTTTGAACAAAATTCTTGTCAGCAATCCCTGGGAAAGACATAAAATATAAACACTGGTCATCAAATCTGAACCATAGAAATATCTGAGACACTGAAAATTACTTTATACGAGGCAAACAGAAGGGTCAGTTCCTGAGATCTCTTTCTTTCCTGACGCCTCAAGGCATTCCAGGAGTAGAGAAAAGGAGAAGAAGAAGAAGAAGATTATCTCTGACATGGGTCAGTGTTACCAGCGTTCATGAGGGAAACAAGAACAGTAACAATGTAACCCCGCCATCCCCTATAAGTTTGTCCATGGACTCCCTGGGATCAGTGATATCATTTACACCACATAGAAATCCTCAACTTTCTAATGAAATTTTTTTTTTCAATTATAATATTTATATTTATAAATTGAAAATGTCACAAACTTTTAATATCTAGGCTCTATAATAAATAGCAATGAAGACTGTTTGACAGAAATTAAAAGGAGGATGGCTATAGCAATGCAAAGATTAAACAGCCTAAAAGGTCTATGGTTAAGCACCAGCAAGGAGATCAAAATTATAATTTTGAGAGCATGTATCTTTCCTGTAGCAACATACGAATGTGAGTCTTGGACTGTCTATAGAAAGATTCTCAAAAAATCTTGGACAAAGAAGAAGAGAAATACTGACATTTTAAAATATCTGAACGATGTGTCCGGGAATGACAACTGAAAGAATCAAGTGATCACTGAATAGGCAACTATGTCCAGACTGCAAAAACGCCAGATAAGAGTGCCACACAGGAAATTTAAGCCAAATTATAATAAATTATTCAGTATAATATTAAAATGTATGGGGTCAGTGGCAGACTTAATATGTTAATGCTAGCATAATTGATGCATTAGCTAGATTTTGAAATTCTACTTTCCCTCATAACATATGGACCAGGCTGATATACTGAACAATGTTTCAGGAACATGACAATTGAAATAATCAAGTGATCATTGAATTGGCAACCATTTCCAGACAGCAAAAACTGTCAGATAAGAGTGCCACACAGGAAAATAAAGCCAAATCTGACATATTTCGCTACACCAACACTAGTTCTGTGTATCTTAAAGTCAAGCCAAAGATGAAAACAAAGATACATACCAACATATGCTCGTTATAAAATTCTGGCACAGTTGCCTTGTATGGTAGCAGATTGTCCCCATTCAGAATGGAAGTCAGCCGTTCCTCGAGTTCCCGTCGCGATTGGGGAACTGCCTGGGGATCCAGGCTCCAGCCATGTTCCAGGAACTCATAGTTCAGCTTGTGTGTGTCCAGTCTCCAGATAATGACCACCTGCAGGACAAATGACCAAACAAAACTGTGTGAACTCAAACATGTACCCTCATAACAGATGACAGTGCATTTTGATAGACTACAGCATAGTCACAAAACTGCAAGTACTCTTTTATTTAAATACGTTAATATCATATCATGAAGAACAGAACACAACCACCTTCTTCTTCTTCTCGTTAATTGGCTGTGAATTCCAGCAAAAGGTCCTAGTAGTTCGTCCATTTGGACTTTCAACTTTTACCTGGACCTGAATTTTGCGTGTACATCCGTTTTACTCGCTCATTTGATTGCCGTTCCCTGCCTCACCGGCAGATGTACTCCAACTTCAAGGGAGGACGTCAAGCCTATCTCTAGGATGACTGTGGCCATTGTTTTTTGTGTGTCGAGATGTTGCCTCATTAGTGTGGTGTCCTCTTTGTCCCTTTGTCTACAGGTGTTGTCTCCGGAGTACCCCCTTTAGGGCAGCCCTATGAAGAACGGTCATCCAAGGAGGCTTCAATAAATGCAGAGCCGACACACGACACTCTGGTTCTGGGCTCACCCAAGGAATTGTCACGTCCTGCACAAGACTGCTTAAACTCACAACCACGTATTAAGCTTCCCGTTCTGCACAGGCTGCGCCCTCCGGAGATCAGCCCACAGGTCCAGGACTTTTGTGACCACTGCTCTTCGACACACATTAGACATCTTTAACATTGTTTCAACTGTGCCCTTAGCAGGACAGAATGGAGAATCATGCGTCAGGCATGTCTTCATCTGTTTTTGTCCCAACCCTCGGGCGAGTGGGACCGCTGGATGCAGACATTTGAATGTTTTCCAATAAGTACAATTTATGATGGTCGGATTTTGAGCTTGCTCTTGTGCCGTAGAATCTATCTTTATTTGACATTTGGGCCTAGCCAGCAGATGAATAGTTGTCATGGTCTACCACAGCGCAGTGATGACGATACTGAGGGTTGACAGAGGATGTACATAGGTAGGATCTTACAGCGAGAAACCGCCCACAGGAGATGTTACTCCTCGGTCCTCTAAGCTGTGGGTAAATCTTTTGGTCAAGGGTTGAGTCTCAGCGGCATAGTTTTCCCATTCACTCCACAGACTTTTAACAGAGAGTTGTCATTTAGTGGTACATTTGGCAAGCAGACTTTACTTATGTTCCAAATTAGTTTTGATGGACATTTTTACCCATGCCTTTGGAGGGTGGGCTGATGAGAGCCAAAAAGGACACTTCATCTCTGGGAGCTGCCAACTCCGAGATCCCCTGACAGCTCTGTTAATGCTAATTTGAGAAATTTTCCGTGGTACACAAGGACGTGCAGCAGGAGTCTTGCATGAGATTCCGTAAAACCAGAACAGTGAAGGGCTGGCACCCGAGTGATTTACAGAGTATCTCCATATACACATAACATCGGACTTAATTTTCCTTCACGCCTGTAACAGAAATCACCGCGCAAAAACACAACCACCATTGTCTTCATCATTATTCTAATTACCATTATCATCACAATTCATCTTCAACGTCACAAGGGGGAAGGGGGGAGATCCAACACCATTCAAATCCCCAACAGTGTGTCATCTATATCACCACCACTATCTTGCGGCGTCCGCGGCTAAAGCGTTGCGAGTCTGACTTGTAATCCAACGTACCGCAATCGAAACCTGCGTGGGCTGCATGGATTTTTATTGTGGTATGGGACGTCGCAGGTCGACCCAGCCTCAAATGGTAACCAGGATGGGCTGTCCTGGGAAAATAAAGATGGCCGGCGTAATGCTGACCACATTACCCATTGAGTGCCGATTGGTCTGTAAAAATATGGGTGCTCTTCCCATATGCACGATGCGCCTAAGGGCGTGTAAAGCGATCTTTACTTTTTTTTTTTTTTACCACTATCTTAAACACCTCCATTATCAATATCAGTATCACATCATCAGTATATTCATTATCATCATCATAGATGATTAATTCTAACCCCAGCTTGTGATTTCATGCCTAAGCTCTTCCAAATAACCTGAAAAGGTAATGTTATGGCAGGGCCGACCAGACCCTTAGCCTTGGTTGTCAGCTGGTCTAGAAGGGAAGCTCTGACAGGTGGACAGTGCGTTTCTTTATTTTTTTTTCTCTCTATCTTTTTCTTCTTCTTTGTTCACCGACTGTAAGCTCCCGCGGAAAGTCCTGGTTGTTCGTCCATTTGGACTTTGGCTTTGTGCCAGGCCTGATTTTTGCGTGTACTTCAGTTTTACTGGCTTATTTGTGTGCAGTTTGTTGCTCCTTGCCACTCGGGCAGATGCTTGTTGGGGAGGCAGTGGGTCTATTCTTGTTGCCCCCATATTGAGGCATCAGAACCCATACAGGGAATTTTTTGTTTAATCCAGCAAGCTTTCATTCTTTGTTACCTTTCCAAAGGAGTAAACAAGACAGGCTGAGAGAGGGATCATGCTGCATGAGCAAAAGATGGTCTCATTCTCAACTTACCTCTACTGTAATTTTGGAGCGTGTTTCATTGCCCTTGGTGAGAGCCCTGATAAAATTGTGCTGCACATCCTCATAGATGTATACAAACTTGACCCGCTCATTCTGTATGGTGGATGTCTGAGCAAACTCTCTGAATGTTTCCCTGGCAATGTTGTGTTCATCTGTTTTTTTGGTAACCAGAGCAACACACAGCCTGGCCAAGGAAGAAAGATGTCATTTATGAAAAAGATACTTTCCTAGAATAAAAGTGGGAAAAAACTTCTGGGAGGACACCAAAATGGAAAAACACTTTATGTGAACCACAAGGAAAAGGCACTTTCTGTGAATCAAAGAAGGAAAGGCATTTTCTGTGAATCAAAGGGGGAAAGGCACTTTCTGTGAATCAAAAAGCAAAAATTAAAGATGTTATTTATGAATCACAGTGGAAAAGACACTTTGCTGGAATAAAAGGGGGAAAAAACTTCTGGAAGGGTACCAAAATGGAAAAATACTTTATTTGAACCACAAAGGAAAGGCACTTTCTGTGAATCAAAGAGGGAAAGGCACTTTCTGTGAACCAAAAAAGAGCAAAAGATAATTTATTGAATTTAACATGAAAAGACTGTCGTTTTCAAAATGGCGGACAGCAGCTGTGTTTATTGTCGCTGGCTGTCAATTCTCTCGGATTATTCTGTTCTATAATAATGGTCTGCTATTTTATGCGCATTTCCAACGCAGGATATTATGTGTTTTTCGTGGGAACAGCGTGTATTGTGGTTGTGCTGTGTCGGGGCGGGATAATGACCGATAGTTTTGGCAGCCTCGACCACGCTGCCTTCGCAATGTTTTGATCGCGGCGGTCCACTCGGGAAGACAGAATCTCGTCAGCAGGGGACTGCAACTGTCTAGAGAGCAAACTCGATAAAAGCTGTCCCCAGAAACGGAATGTGTCAACCATATATTTGGTGGGGAGGAATCGACACATACGGTCAACTCAATGGCCATGCGCAAATATTTATCCAATAGTGGTACCACCACGTTGGGTAACAATCAAGTGAAAGCGGGACTCGCTCTCACATCTCAAATAGGTTTACCCTTTGCCACCAACAGCCCCGCGGCTTCCTGCATTGCTAGGGGAGGACAGGGTGTCACTTCTAACTGCGAGGACACACTTCCACCACTTGTAATCATGCAGTGGAACGCCGAAGGCGTATTTAACAAAAAGAGAGAACTAGAGGAACGCCTGCGAGCAGAAAAAATCGACGTTATCTGCATTCAAGAGACGTACCTCAACCCAAGTAAAAGATTTCATATTAGAGGATATGAAATATTTCGCCAAGACAGAGAAAATAGACATAAAGGTGGGGTTGCCACGCTGGTTCGTAATTCAATACCAGATGTTGAACTACATAGATCCAACCAGCTGAATACTGAATTCATTGCTGTCCAGCTGCAACTAAAAAATAAAAATATGTCAGTCTACAACATTTACTCACCACCTACCCTCCCCACCGAACTTGAAGCTATACAGGTTCAAGAGAGCAACTTGCTAATTATCGGAGATTTGAACAGTCACTCACCCAGCTGGGGTTATGACTGTTTAGATGCTTGTGGAGAAAATCTTGAGGAGTGGCTAATCACAAACTGTCTCACCCTTCTCAATCACCCTGATGACCCGCATACGCACTACTCTAGACGGTGGCGCACAACAAGCACACCTGATCTAGCATTTGCAACAGACGACATCCATAAGATATCTGTTAGGCAGGTGTGCGACCAGTTAGGAGGCAGTGACCACAGGCCAGTGAAGATTCTGATAAACAGCCTTAAAATATAAAAATCTCCAGATACTGCACCAAGCTGGAACTACAAAAAGGCAGATTGGAAACTTTTTCAAGAACTTGCAGACTCAAACTGCAAAGCAATCAGCCTTTCAGGTAAGGTTGACAGAGATGCACAAGAATTCAACAAGGCCATACTGAATGCAGCAAAAAAAACCATTCCTAGAGGAAAGAGGCACAATTACAAGCCATATTGGTCACCAGAACTGGAAGTGCTTCACGGTTCGCTCTGTGATGCTAGAGATAGCATGGAAGCTGATCCAACAGACGAACATGTGAAGCAACACAACAAAGCAAGGGCTCTCTATGTCAGAGAAAGAAACCTACAGTGTAGAAAGTCCTGGAAAGAAAAGTATGCTTCTCTGAACATGGATAAAGACACCACAAAATTGTGGAGACTGACAAAGGCACTTAATGATGACAACCCATCTCATGGAAAAACAGTTCTCCAACAAGAAGGAAATCTACTCACAGGGAAGGAAGCAGCGACTCTGATGGCCCGAAACTATGAGAAAGAAAGCTCATATTCAGTAACCCTGGAGCAAAAGAAAGCAGTCCGAGATGGGATAAACTCCATATTCAAAAAAGCCTCTTGTGAGCCATGCATGGAGACAGACATCACTCTAACTGAGCTACTAAGAGCAATGAGAAAACTCAAGTCAAAGAAGGCACCTGGCCCAGACGAAGTTTCAAACGACATGCTCAAACATATGGGTCCAGTAGCACAAAACATCTTACTCCAGATATACAACTATAGCTGGAAACTAGGCAGAGTCCCAGATATCTGGAAAAATGCTATAATCCACCCTATCCTCAAAAGTGGCAAGGACAAGAAGGACCCTCAGAGCTACAGGCCTGTCAGTCTGCTAAGCTGCCCTGCAAAACTGATGGAGAGAGTGCTAGCCACCAGACTTCAGTGGTTCCTAGAAACCAATCACAAACTGGATCCCGCTCAGACAGGCTACCGACAGCACAGAAGCACTGATGACCAGGTAGCATACCTTACACAGGACATAGAAAATGGCTTCCAGGAAAAGAAGAAAACCCTCACAGTCTTTTTTGATATGTCCAAGGCCTTTGACAAAGTATGGAAGGATGGCTTGATGCTAAAGCTCTTACATAGTGGAATAAGAGGCAGAATGTACTACTGGATACAAGACTTCCTATCACACAGGCGGGCATCTGTGAAACTAGATGAAGCACATAGTCCCAGATTCAAGCTGAGAGCAGGAGTACCACAGGGTAGTGTACTGTCTCCAGTCCTGTTCCTGATTTACATCAACGACCTACCTCAAACTTTACCCAGACATGTATCACATTCTCTTCATGCAGATGACCTAGCTGTGTGGTACACCTCTGAGTTCATTGGACCTGCTATATCAAAACTCCAGGAAAGTGTGAATAGTGTCATAAACTGGGCCAACAAATGGGGCCTCGAAGTAAACAGGAACAAAACTGTAGCAACACTCTTCTCATTGTCTACAAAGGAGGAAAAGTTTACATTAAAATTCAAAAAATGATGCTGTTCCACGCTCCAATACTCCAACCTTCCTGGGAGTCAAGCTTGACAGTCGTCTGACATGGAAACATCACATACTAGAAACTAACAAAAAAGCCATGAGAAAACAAGGTGTGATGAAGAAATTGGCAGGCACCACTTGGGGAGCAGACAGTTGTATCTTGAAGCAGGTATACACCGGCACAGTCAGACCAACTCTCGAATACGCATCATCGTCATGGATAACAGCAGCCCATTCCAATAAACAGATACTAGACAAAACGCAAAATAGAAGTCTGCGTACAATTCTGGGAGCCATAAAATCTACACCTATTGTAGAAATGGAAAAGGCAGCCAACATCATCCCCTTAGAAGAAAGAAGGACAAAAGCAATTCTACATGCTGAAAAAATGAAGAGAATGTTAAACCACCCATTACACGAAAAATTGGCAGCCAGGACAAAAAACAGAATAAAGCGCACAAGCCTAAACCATCTAACGAAGGAATTTGGAAAGTCATTCTCTTCACTACTTAACCAACAATGTACACCTGAAGAGCTATCTTTCGATCTCTGGGACTCCAAATTATTGACACTCAATGTGTCAACATCCATCCCAAACCTGGGAAACAAAGATGCTGAGCCCGCTTTAGTGAAGAAAGCACTCACAATAGAACACCTCAACAACATGTTCCCACAGGACAGCTGGACAAGAATCTACACGGATGGATCAGCAAAAGAAGCAACTACGAATGGTGGGGCAGGTGTCTACATAAAACACCCAGATGCCACTACTGTGTCCCTAGCAGCCCCCACCGGACGTACTTGCTCTAACTACAAGGCAGAACTCTCAGCTCTATTGATGGCAGCACAGTATATGAACAATCTGCAAATCACCGCAGGCAGGATAGTTTTTCTCACTGACTCACTGTCAGCTGTACAGGCCCTTGAGTCCAAACCTACCGACAGCACACTACAAAGTCTAACACAGGAACTTGCTATGTTGTCAAATAAGGCAGAAATTCACTTGCAGTGGATTCCGTCTCACTGCGGCATCAAAGGCAATGAAAGCGCAGATGCTTTAGCCAAGGAAGGCAGTAACAAACTACAGACCTACCAGCCACTATCTTTTCCAGAAGTCAAAACTCTCATTAAGAGAAAATCAGAAACAGACTGGAAAAACAACACTGGTTATGACTACGGAAAAGATTTTCTGAGGCACTTGAACAGAACAGACCAAGTCACAGTTTTTCGCTTACGCACTGGACACTGCAGACTCAATAAACACTCATATAAATTAGGTATGAGCCAAACAGCTCTCTGCCAGTGTCTTCGTGCTGAACAGACTCCAGAACATGTCCTGCAAGACTGTCCTCTCCTGGCGGAGCTGCGGAGCGACATATGGCAACACCCAGTAGAACTGACAACTAAGCTTTGGGGAAACCTAAGAGACCTTGAAAAGACATCCCAGTTTATGACCCACAGTGGATTATGCGCATGACCAGAGATCGCTGAAGAAGAAGAAGAATTTAACATGGAAAAGATATTTTTTCTGGAATGAAGAGAGACAAGACACTATTATTCAACACAGAACATGCAATTCCCATGAAATCTGTTTACAGTCAATTTTTCGATCACAGTATCAAACTGACCTACAGTAATCCTTCAGCCTCAAACACCATTTTTTGGACCTCTTTACCATCCTTCACAGTTTCCATAGATCTGTGAACCTTGATCAATCAATCAATCAATCATTCAAACAGATGCCATCTCCACGATGAAGACTGGCTGCAATGGATCTCAAACACCATATGTCTTTCACGCTGGATGTACACTCTCTCAGACTTCTGTCTGTTTGTTCATCTCTGGATGTTACCCCCCCCCCCCCCCCCACTTGTATCACTATCTAGCCTCTTGCTCCCTTGTCTGCAACATTTCCCTTAGTTTATGTTAAACCAACAAACTCATACAATTTTACTCTACAACTCCACCCATCCTCCCTCAGGCAAAGATCCTTCGCCATCTTCTTAGCATTCACTGCTGTAAACTGGTGGAAGATTCTGGTTGTTCATCCACTTCTGAACTTCAGTCTTGTTCTAGAACTGGCACCATTAGCATTGGAACTCTGCGCTGGCTGCTGAGGATGGGGATGGAGCATGTATGGGAATGCCCTGAGTGATGTGATGTCCATTCTTAACTCAACTTTACAGCTCTGGCTTATCTTGTATGCGCACTGTCGGTTCGTCACCTCTCAGGAAGATGTACTCTGACATCAAAAGAAACCCTTTGTTGTGGTGGGGTGCAGGAAGCAATGGGTCTATTCCCCCCCCCCTCCCTCCTATGGGGCCCTGAAACCCACACTGGGGGTGCAAAGATAGTATTCCTCTATCTTACTGTCACCTACATCACCATGACATTATGCCAGCACAGGCTTAGATCTAGGTTCACACAGAGGCAGATTTTTATAAATGACTGGAGTTCCTTGGTCAATAGCCCAAAACGGGTACTAGGAAATGTTCTGGGAAGTAAAAGTGCCCCATGGTTATAAAAAAAAGGACCTAGCACCATATACCAAATGGCCCTTTACTTTGCTTTATTTTATAACACAAATAACATTCATTTAAGTCTTTAAAATGTTAAGTGAATGAAGAAAATGAATAGAACACTACACAACAAACTTACAGAACATTACCTATCATTAAATTCAATAAGACACAAAGAATGAAACAGTTGGGTCACCTCATAAGAATGAATCCTACGACACCCGCAGCGAGAGTACACAACCGGAAAATAGAAACACTAAGAGGCAGAGGGAGACCTAGAAGAAATGGACTGCCGGGAGTCACTGACAGCATGAGACTTTTTAACATCACAGTATACCATGCAGCCGAACATGCCCAGGCTCACCTACCTATCATCTGTTTAAACTGTCATGCTTAGCTGTACAATGCAGTCTGACAAAAGCAGAAAAAAAGAAAGAAATTAATTTTGTTTTAATAGCCGACCTTCTTTTTTTAATCTTTGACTCCTGTGGGCAGAGATCATCAAAGACCGCCTGTGACGATAACCTCGGTAATGCCAGATATTTGTGGTTCGACAAAACTTCATCGATAGTTGACCTCGACAACTGCTGAAGCTGTAAGACAATATTTAAAAACGGAAATTGCATTACCATGAACTCACTTTAAACAAACATCCAGTTAACATAAACACAAATTTGGCCCTAGGAGGGACGTATTATTCATAATACATCTACTGGTCCGCAGTAAGGAGGTGCCGTGGTGATGCTCGCCTGAGGATCCAAAAGATCAAATTTGAACAGTTGGACCTTTTACAAACATGACCTTGGATCCCGAGTCAACAGAGCCTTAAATGGGTACCCAGTAAGGTCCTCGGAAGTTACAGGTACCAGCATTACCTTGACCACATCACCCCCCTAGTGCCAATTAGTCTATAAGATATAGGTCTAGTACTAAATGCATAATACACCTGATGGTGTGGCAAAGGATCCTTAAATAGTCTCCGGTAAGCATACATTTGAAAATAAAAACTGTTTTAATGGAATTTAGGTCAAAGAGGTTATACTGATAAAAAAAAAAATCCCAGACAACGGAAAATATGAACAGACACATGAACAAACTAAAGGTTATTCTAGAAACAGAACATAACTAGCCTGGTGGCAATGATGACTACGATGATGTGACCTAATAGACAGGTAATGAGTGCAGTGACATCAACTCTAAAACTGTTCGTTGGTCAACAAATCTTCTTCACTGTCAATCAAAATATTCAGTCCATAAGTGCTCTGGTAATTTTCTCCTCATTCTCACTTCACATCAACCAATCGGTCCAGGAGTGCTCCCATAATTTTCTAACCATCCTCACTTTAAGACAAACCAATCAGTCCATGAGTGCTACGATCATTTTCTCCTCGTCCTGACTTCACATCGCAACAAGAAGCATAAATGCTCTGATACCACCTTTACTATATCCCCCAGAGTGCAGCAGCGAGCAACACCAGTTGTGCGTTGGTTTATTAAATAATCTTTGTGCTGGCTCCTCACAAAATGCTCTTGTCTGGCTCACAACTCCCATCTTGCTGTTTTTAAAGTCTGGTCACAGCTGCCGATTCACAGTTCTCACTGGATCCACAGCAACGTCATATTTCTGGAACAATATTCAGAATGTCAGCCTGGTCCACTGCTCATCTGGCCTCCACTGTAGCCTTGCTCACAAGCTTTTTCATTTTGTCAACTCTGCCTGACAAGCCAAGGTGGTGCGTGAGTTTGTGACAATCAATCAATCAGGTGCCGCCTCCACAATGAAGGTTGGCTGCAATGGATCTCCAACAAGACCTGTCTCTTGCCCTTGATGTACACTCACTCATACTGCTGTTCGTCCATCTCTTGATTTTATCCTCCCACTTGTAACGCTGTTTGCCTTTTGCTCGCCTACCTTGAACCTTTCCCTCTAGGATGATCTTTACAATACTGTTATGTCTTTTAATGTGGCCAAAATATTTCACTTGTCTCTTTTTTATTTCACCTAGCAACTCTCTTTTCATTCCCAATTTCCTCAGTACCTCTGTATTTGATAGCTTTTGTTTCCATGAAATACGACCTAATCTTCTGTATATCCACATCTCTAAAGAATTGATACGATTTTCCAGTTGTTTGTTCATTGTCCATGTCTCTGTGCCATACAGTGAGGTTGAGAATACATAACATTTGACAATTCTCATTTTTAATGTATTGCTTATTTCTCTTTATGTCAGTAACTTTTGCATGTAGTTGAAAGTGTTTTTGGCCATCCCTATTCTTTTCTTGACTTCTGTTTCACTTCTGCCGTCACATGTTATTACTTGTCCAAGATATAAGAAATTTTTGTTCCAATTTCACCCTGTTCACTGTGATATTCATTGTTAGCTGATTATTTTCTTTGCTAAATATCATGGTTTTTGTCTTTTTCAAATTTATATCTAATCCAAATTCTGCACTCCTTCTGTTTACTTGCTCCACTAGGTCTTGCAACTCATGCTCACTCTCTGCTAGCAACACTGTGTCGTCTGCATATCTCAGATTGTTTATTATTCTACCATTGATGTGCAGTCCTGGTAATTCTACAATTTCTTTAAAAATGGTTTCTGCACATAAGTTGAAAAGGCTAGGCGACAGCACACATCCTTGTCTTACTCCTCTCTTGATCCATATCTGAGGTGAGCAGATGTTGTCATATCTTACTGTTGCTTCTTGCTCCCAGTATAAGTTTCTAATAAGTCTGATATCCTTTCCATCTAGTCCTATGTTTTGAAGAGCTGCAATTAGTTGTTCATGTTGCACTCTGTCGAAAGCTTTTTTGTAATCTATAAAACATGCATAAATATTTTTCTGAACTTCTATATATTTTTCAGTCAGCATCTTTAGACAAATTATGGCCTCTCGAGTACCACTGTTTTTACGGAATCCAAATTGCTCTTCAGAAACTTCTTTCTCTATTTTATCTTGAATTCTTGCTTGTATTATCTTCAAGAGTAACTTAGTTACGTGACTCATTGTTTGTGTACACACCTATCAACACTCAGATCTGGAGATCAATCCTATCCTGTCATTTGGTGCCATCTTATTCAAACATACTCCGCTAAAGTCTGACAATAGGTAATTTTAACCAAACCAGAAAACAGCACCCACTTATCTGGCAATAGTGAATCAGACACCTAAAATTCGTGATAAGGTACATATGCTTATGACAAAAAAGTCCTGTGGGAGCGGACATCATAAACAGTAGGCTGCAATATGTTGGAAATTTAAAAATAAAAACAAAAACAAAAACACGCAAGCCAAATTGGCTACTGATCACGTTAAATTACCAACTCAGAACAGCTGCCCACAGGTGTCCTGTCACCCATAGTATACACACACAAACAGGGAGGGAGATAAAAATAACCGTGAGGTGGCGAGAAACTGAGACACACACATACACACACAGTAAGGGGAGAGAAAGGGGGGAACAGAATGATGGAGAAAGACAGAGGGGGAGGGCAGAATAGGGGAAGAGATACACAGAGAGAGGGGGGAGAGAGACAGAAAGCAGGCAGACAGGTGCCAACTTACAACAATGGTGGCCAGCGGTGTCGAATCTGTCACTTCATTCCACAGAAGCAGAGTTTCTCGGTACTTATTGACACCGTACTGTTTCACTAGCTTCTCAGCTTTTGGATCGCCGGTGTGCACAAATCCACAAGCAATGCGATCCCGATAAAAAAATGCCGGAGCTAAAAATCTTAAAGAAGGTTCTGATTTGGAGCTGAAAAAGATGGCTCTGACTCTGTTATCCCTCCAACCGTCCAGGAAACTTTGCAGTGAGTCATCAGTAATCTGAAAGTAACAGATATGGTTCCTTATGTTGTTGTTGTTAAATTTGCTTGTCCCATAAACAAACTGTTAAATATTTAACTCTTTTTTTTTTAGCTCAACACTCAAGGAAAGGGCGATAGGAATATACAATCAGCTACTGGTATCACTGGAATGGAACTCTTTGCTTGCTGCTGAAATAGAGATGAAGCGCTTATGGGGTGTCTAGAGTGTTGTTATGTCGATTCGTAATTCAACATTCAACTTTTTTTTTTAATGCAAAAAAGACTTTTTTTTTTTTTTACAAACCTTTAAGAACCGTCTAAAGAGGAATCTTTGGACCCACTAAAGATGCGAACAGCTGAAAAGTGAAAAGCAACAATGAAATTCATCATGTTTAACCCTTATTCCTGTCGCCCTGCGAAGCTGCAAAACCAACACTTCTGGCTGGGTCAAACCAGGGCCCCAGAGCCTACACTGGGAAATTCTTTGGTCTTATTCCTCCAATAGTTTAACCCAGCATGGTAACCAGCATAGGACTGACATAATTAACTGCAGTATGCTGATGTATACCAGGAAGGAGGGGCAGCGGCCGACCGACATGAAGATGGGAACAGGATATAAGTGACTCCTTGAGTTTGAAAGTACATGAGGTAAGAGAGCTGGCGAGAGACCGAGTTTTCTTTCAGGCAGACCATGATGAGAGTGACGTTCTGCAAAGGACCTGCTACATGATGATGATGAAGATGCTGATGTATACTTTGAAGGAGGAATCTGAGCATCTTTGGACATGTCCTGAGTTCTGTGAAGATAACCCAACTCATAACTTTAAACCCAAAGTGCTCCATTTATTACATCAGTTCTGTCCCCTAATTGTACTGCTTCAACCCATGAAGACTCAAAGATCTGCACTTATTCACAAAAGACATTTACCCTTGCAAGGGCAGTCAACACACTGTGTTGTCATTTATAGCTAGACTGTGATATCTGCATCTTCTGACTCAATACATCCGATTTCAACAAATCTTTTTTTAATCTTTTATGACATGCTTATTGGGAGTTGCCGTGGTCTAGCAGCTAGACTATCGCCTGCGTATCGGAAGGTTGTGGGTTGGGTTCCTGACTTTTTTCAAAAATGACCTTGGCTCCTAGGTCAACCCAGCCTTGAGTGAGTACCAGGTACAGTCCTGGGAAGTAAAGCCACCCGGGGTGATGCTGACCACATCACCCACCAAGTGTCGTTTGGTCTATAAAATATAGGTCTAGCCCTATTTAACCATACACCTAAAAGGCGTGGAAAAAGGTCCTTTTATGACATGCTTATTAGGGGCCAGTTTTAACAAATAATGTGAGGTAAAGGACCCTTTTCCACACCTTCAGGCTTACTGGGCATAGAGGGCTAGAGCTATAATCTATAGACCAAGTGGCACTCAGTCGGTGATGTGATTAACATCAGGCCAGCCGCCTTTACCGCCCAGGACTGGGCCAAGCTGTAAGACAAAGTGATTTTTTTTTAAAAGTCGGCTCCATCAGGACCCAAACCTAAAACCTTCAGATCCGCTGGTGAGCATCTAGCTGTGAAACCACAATGGCTCCCAAGCGTCAAGAGGGTCTATTATTTTTTTTTAACCATAAAATGGGACCCGGGAGCCCACACAGGATTTTCTGTATTTAAGAACCATCTAAAGAACATCTTTCATAAACACTGACGCTACTCACCTGTACCAAGGTGTCAGATGGGAACAGGGACTTGACAAAGTCCTTCAGGTAGTCGAAGGAAATGCCGCTGTTTTTATAAAAAGTGATTCGACCTGACACCACACCCAGGAGGCTTGGGGCGTTGTACAGCCTCAAGTGACTGGCCAGGCCAGGGGAGCGTCTGAGATGGACTGCGACAACGCACAGACCTGGGAGTCAAGAATAGGGTCTGTTAAGCCTTAAAATTCATTCATTCATTGTCCTGCTGTGCTATAATATGTCCTATATGACTTGCAGTATATTTCTACATTCCATTAAATCCTGTGCAATCACTCTGATATCATGAACAGAATACAGTCCAGCACCTTTGGCTTCTCTCATCAACTTTCACCTTACGGTTTCTCTTGCATATCCTTGTTTCCTCAATCCCTCTGTATCCCATTTCTGTGCCTGAGAGGTGACTCTCTGTTCATCTCTTCTCAGAAAGTGTCTAATACAGCACCCTCCTCTCTGTAGTTAGACTGATACTAGTGGTTGCCCAGATATTTCTCTTATTTCTTCACTCCTCTTGACTTCATCCTATTTTATGCTCATAATTTTCCTGTTTTGTTGTTGTTTGTTTGTTGTTGTTGTTGTTGAATGCATACATTTTTGTTCCATTTCTGTAGTAATTCTCAGCTTTTACTGGCAAACATAAAACTGAAATGACATTAGAAATGAAAATATGTAACTTGGTTCTAAACCACATACCTTTAAAAGTTGGTTGGTTAACCAGTCATTCGGTTAGTCAGTTAATCACTTAGTCAGTGGTTGGTCATAATGTAGAGGTAGGAATAGACCATTATGGTCTAAAGAAAATGGTACAGCTAGGGGTGACCAGGGAATCTGGTCAACACTATATAACCTCAGAGGACAGACACATAATCGAGCTGCTACTGGCACCATCGGAGCTGATGATGGGGATGGAGCACTTATGGGCATGTACTGAGTGCTGTGATGTCAGTTCTTAATTATTTTGGTAATTCAGCCAGTTCTTAAGCCATATGGTTAGTTACTTGGCAAGTTAATTTGTTACTTAGTGGACACTAGCATAAACAGGTTTCTTTACATTTACTGACATTTCTTATAGGGTCATGGTAACACACCAAAGATAACTCTATGACGAGACTTCCTGTCAAAATGACTGATAGATAGCTGACTGCTGGCACTCTGAAAAATCTGTTTGTTTCCAGTTAGGTTTTGCTGATGCAAATTCCCTTTTTTCTGGACAGAGAATAAAAAGATGACTGCCCGCAATTTGCTATTGACTATACCAAGATGGCGACGGTCGTTTTACATTTAAAATGGTCTGTATTTTGATGGGTGCAATGCCGGCTTTCGTGACTGACCGACTACCAACAGTGAGCTGCAGTTCTTGTGTGGGAACATTACTGATGGCATATATGATAGCACGAACATTACATCTCCCCCCGACACTTCGATGAGGTACAAGGTGGAAGAGAAGAAGAAGAAGAAGATATATTATAGCTTATACATGCATATTTACTCACAAGTGTTTCACTAGTTTACAAATGGGGCAGTGAAGGACATTTATGTGATTTCCACTGGCACAGGAACAGAGCAGTTATAAGGTAACCCGCCTGCATTCTCTCCTTCTTCTTCTTTGCGTTTACTGGCTGTAAACTCCAGCTGAAAATTCTGGCTGTTCATCTACCTCTGGAATCTAGTCCTGTTCCAGAAACTGAGTGTTGTGTGTACATCTGTTTCACAGGTCTGACTCATTTGCATGTAGACGGGTGGTTCCTTGCCTCTCAGGCAGATGTACTCCGACTTTGAAGGAAGCTCCTAATTAGTCGACTCTTGCGACATTATTCCTGGCAGGCAGTGGGTCTATTCTTGTTTTCCCCACAATGGGGGCCCTGGAACCCACATGGAGAAACCCACCTGCAGAGATGTTGGGACCTCGACTAAAGACTTAACGACTCACCAACATTCTCAAGCTCAGTCATAAACTTGAACAGAACAGGCTCAATGCGCATACAGTTGAAACACAGGTCTGTATACGCGTAGATAAAACAAGGGTTTTTTGAGGTGCCTGGGTGTAACTTGGTCTCATAATGCCTGTTTAAAGTAAAGGAACAGACAGACGATTATAAGTTACATTTGCATCAAACTTGCAATAAACATTCAAAGCTACAACTAAGAGAAGATTATAAAATGTGCTTCAAATTTACAACAAACAAGACATTAAAGCTAATACAGAAAAAAAACAAGTTTGAAGACTTTAGGAGATTCTTTAGGTTTTTAACAATCACTTAAAGCTGAGACAGGGAAACACTGAAAAGACTACAGGACATTCTTCCAATTTATAATAATCAGTTGAAACGAAGACAGAGAAACCGAGAGAAGATGATAGGACTTTCTTCATATTTATGACAATCAATTAAAGCTAAGTCAGAATAACCGAGAGAAGACTTTAGGACACTCAATTAAAGCTAAGTCAGAAACAAATACCTAGAGAAGACTTTAGGACATTCTTCAAAACTATAAGAATCAATTAAAGCAAAGACTGACAAACAGAAGACTACAGGACATTCTTCAAACTTGCAACAATTAATAAATATTTTATATATAATAATAATATTTAATAAATATATGTGGGGACATTCTTCAAATCTACAATAAAAAATTCAAGTGAAGACAAACCAACCAAGAGAAGATGATTGGACTTTCTTAAAAAATGTAAGGTAAAACAAACCATAGTCCCCACATCTAAACATCAGTACACACTAATTCACTTCTGACTGGTCGACCTTCAGCCTAGTTCACTTCTGACTGGTCGATTTAGAGCTATGCTACCTTGCCCTAACGTTACGGGGGCTTCCTACAATGCCGTTGACTGTGTGTTGTAAATTTCAGCATGCTAGCGCTTTTATTACTCTAAAAACATTTACAAACTTGGTCTAACACAAAACCCCTTTAGAAAGTGATGAAACCTATGTCACAGGCATTCTCTTTCTCGGAAAAAAGACGTAAATGCAAGACAGCACAGTAGACCAGTCCAACAAAGTTATCAATGGAACGTGACCTACTTTCTGTGGGGAGACTTACGTTTGTTTACGTTTCCAAAAACACAGTAAAATCCACAGCTTCAAAAACAGAGTAGGATCCACGGCTTCAAAAACAGAGTAGGATTCACGGCTTCAAAAACACAGTGGATGTACTTAAAAAAAAAAAAAAAAAGTATGACTGGTTTTGTGTGTGCTGTCTACGAAGCCTCAAGAAGAAATAAAATATGCAGAATGGATGGCTACTTACTGCAGAGTTGTCAAAAACTTGTCCATTCCTCCACCTTCTCTTCCACCAAAACCAAAAGGTCCAAAACCACCAAACCCTCCTTGGAAAAATTCATCAAAAGGGTGGAACCCACCTCCTGGACCCCTGGGTCTCTGTTCCTGGGCTGATGTGTAACCAAACTTATCATAACTGGACCGTCGCTCAGAATCACTCAGTGTCTAAGAAACATTAAGAGAAATGTTACTGTTACATCAGCTCCTGGATTAACAATGTTCATCCAATTAATCTGGATCATTCAGTATCTTTTAAGAAACATTCAGAGAAATGTTACATCAGCTGATGGATGTATCAATGTTCATATAATCAACCTTTCTGACAAACATCAAGAGAAATACAGTGGAACTTCAACATTCGTCCACGCAAATATTGCCCCCCCCCCCCCCCAACAACTTCTTTTAAAGAAACATTTGTTTGATATTTGCCGGAAAAGTCAATATTCGTCCCTCCTCTGCCATGGCCGGTGAGGTGGATCACAGATCTCACAGCACAAGAGCTACTACAGCTATATAAAGAACAGAAAGCTGAAGCAATAAGATAAATTTAATCAGATGAGGAAAAAGAAGATGGGCCGGTTCCAATTCATTTGATGACCCAAAAAAAAAAACATAACAAAACCAAAAACACTGAATAACTTCTTTAAAAAAAATTAGTGCTGGTGATTTGTCTGGAAATGATGATGAAATATCAGGACATTAATCTCCAGAAGTGACAATACCTGATGTCATAATGGAAGGTGACACCCCTTCTAAGCAAAATCCATTAAAAAGGTCAATATATTTTTAAAAAAGTGTATTTATGCAGGCCTACAGTAAATTTATGTCGGCTCTGTGGCTAAGTCGATGCAAACACAACGAAATGCCGGGATGTCGGGTTCGATCCCAGCTGCAGACCATGCGCCTTGCATTGGTTTCGACAGTGGTATCAGGGGGCTGACCGTCTAGAAAGCAATGGCAAACTACTGGACATAAATTTGTCTAGAGAAACCCCACAACAGCCATGGGCTGCTGGGGTTGGTTCTGCAACATCCTGTAAAGGATACGCAACTAACTTAACAGTAAATTTATATCATCAGGACGAGTAAATCTCTGTCATAATGACAAAGCAGTACTAAATTCAGAGGTTAATAAATGATTCAAATGTATTTCCAATGATTTCCTAGATCAACTTTTGAGTGAAATTTTGGTTAAAGAATAGATAGGCTAAATTCGGGGCTAGGAATGGATTAAACCAATTTCAGTTAATTCGTAAGGAAAAAATTTCTTTCATATTTGTCTTTTTTAATAGTTATTCTCCTCTTAGGAATGAATTAATGATGAATACTGAAGTTCCATTGTATTATTGTTAAAGCAGTAGCTCAAAGATGTAAAAATTGTCACCCAATCAATCTGGATCGTTGATTGTCTGAGAAACATTAAGAGAAATGTTACATTAGCTCATGGATGTAACAACAACCATTAACATCATGTGCTGTAACTACATGTGTAGTCTGTCATGTTTTGTCGTCTCACACAAACATCTGACTCATCATGGATCAGGTCATTGTTCTTGTCTCACCCCATCCAAGTGTTTTTTAAGTCTTGGGAAGTTTCTGCTTCTAACAATTGATCCAACCCACCCCTACACATTAGACTATTCGTGACGTTAACGCCCCTAGCGGGCAGGTCAAATTTCAAATATAGACCCGTCCAGTGGGTATATAGTCCCTCATATCTATTTATTCCTTTATCTGGCATAATAGGTATTTCTATAGACTTTAGATATTTTGTGAAGTTTACATTTTCAAACTTACAGTTGTGGGGTAGATATTTTCTGAATTAATATTCAGAATTCCGAGAAACCTATTTACTCCTTGGCGTACTAATCTGGGCACTTCTTTCTGGGGACAAGATGCAAAATCGTCCCACCTCATTCTCTGCCAGACTTTTAAGGTGATAGGAACACCTCTTTGATTGAATTTTGGTTCGTACAACAACCAGTTTAATCTTTGAAAGAATCCTAAGCTTGGGATGATACCTCCCTGGAAGTCAGGCAGTCAATCAGCAGTCTAACCAACCACCATACACTAAAGTTACCCACTACCTCAACTCCAACATGGCAGGAGCTTGTTTGGGCTCTAGTGGCTAAGAGACAGTTGTTGCAGGCCACCCATTGATCATCAATCAAGGAGAACCTTCTTCAGGAGCTTGATTGGGTTCCAGTGGCTAAGAGACAGTTGTTGCAGGCCACCCATTTATTATCAATCAAGGAGAACCTTCTTCAGGAGCTTGATTGGGCTCCAGTGGCTAAGAGACAGTTGTTGCAGGCCACCCATTTGTCATCCATCAAGGAGAACCTTCCTCAGGAGCTTTGTCGAGCTCCAGTGTACGAACTCTGTGTTTACCAGGGCAACCAGAAAAAGGGGCAGTCCAACCGAATCAGCCTGTTCAGATCACCATGGACTGAGGAGTGCAGTGACACCTACCAAACTTCGATAAGTACTCTGTGATGAAATGCCTCGTGCTCTATTTACAGGTCCACTCGGAGTCAAGATGATGACAACAGACTTTCTCATAGACTGGCTCTGGCTGATTCAGCAGTAATACTTGGGCTTTAATTAGTGATCTCCATTTGCCTGTGAACATCTTTACCTAAGTCTTAATGATATATATATGTGTTGCATTTATTACATGCCTTTGGAAGTTTTCATTATTGACTTGGATGTCCATCATTCACTGTTCAAACTGTCTAGAATGTATATATGTTTAACCATTAATCTTAATCTGTGTTAACATGGCTGTGGTATTACAATATCATAGCCTGGGGGCTATCTTCTTATAGTAGCGGGGATGTCCAGCCAAGTTGAGCCTAGGAATATTATATATTCTGTAGTGCCATAGCTTGAGTTGCCCTGCTCCTGAAATAGGTTGGGTGTATATTGGCCACGGGATACCCTTTAGACCAATATGAGCCGACACCTCAACATTATTCTATTTCATAGTGCTGTTGGTTCTTAAGGAGAAATCCTTAAAACAAGCACGAGACACGAGCCGTATGTGACAGATGCCTTTTAGGACATGCCTGTTAACAGACACTGGGTTTATTCTTTTCCCAGAACCCATATGCGAAGTTGTAATATCAATAACTTACCTCATATGCCTCATTAATTTTGGTAAATTTGTCCGTTGCAGATGGGTCATCATTCTTATCTGGATGCCTGTGGACAAGGAAATGTAACAATATATTATTTATTTATTCTAGCGACACTGAACCTTTATTTCTGTGGCAAGGGTCATTTAGATCAAGGGTCATTTAGATCAAGGGTCATTTAGATCAAGGGTCATTTAGATCAAGGGTCATTTAGATCAAGGGTCATTTAGATCAAGGGTCATTTAGATATTTATCAAATAATCAGCGGCTCATGCAAAATTATCAACTTGAAAATCAGACTGCTAAACATGGTCAAACATTTAATTTTGTCGCCCTGAAGTGGCCAGACCAAATAATTTTGCTGGCCATATATAGTTTATAAGGAGGATGTTTCTTATTTCTGATTTATTAACTGTATCAGTGCTATTTGTGAGTGCCTGCGCAGACAGGTGCCTGCAATTATGCCTGCACTGGAAAGGCATCAGCAGCTTTTAAAATATGGATCTTTAAATTATAACACACAACACAACCATGATTGTAACTGACTCAGAGAGCATGCTGAGGAAGATCAGGACCGGCATGCTTCATGCAGAGTGCCATGCTTCATTGCGGAGGACACAGGATACACCGGTGTGTTGGAAAATGAACAGGCGGACAGACTGGCTGGCTCTGCTCAACTTGGTGAAATACTGATGCATGATAAGGCAGACGTGATTAGTACCTTGTGGGAGAGTGTGTACACAGTTCGGAGGAGCAGATGGTTCCCCCCAGTCGCGTGAGACTGATGCAAGTGGGGGGGGGGGGGGGGTCTGGCAGACAGACGAGAGGTTCTGGCAGATGCTCAAGGCTCCAAAGAAAGACAAGACAGATGTTTAATCTGAATGTCACTGGCACCATTAGTATCAGAACTCTTTGCTGGCTGCTGAAGATGGGGATGGGATGCTTATGGGAATGCCCCAAGTGCTGTTATGTTGGTTCTTGAATCAACTTTACTCAACTTTAAATCATACAGTTTTAGGTCAAGTCAGATATTGTCAATTCTAATTATATTTCAGTTTTAACATACACCAGTGAAAGTTGGAGAATCACTAAAGATATGGAATGAAGGTCAAAATATTTAAAAAACAAATGCCTCATGAAAATTATGAACAGTAAATGGGATGATTTAAAAGAAGTGGAGAAATAAGAGAAATGTCTGGGCAACCAATAGAATTAACAGTTGTAAGACAGAGAAGATAGTGCTATATTGGACAGTCTGAAAAGAGATTAACAGAGAATCACCGTCAGGAGCTGAAATGGGAAATAGAGTGATTAAGGAAACAAAGCATCTGAGAGAAATAGTATGGCGAACATTGATAAGTGAAGCCAGAGGTGTTGGACTAGATATCATCCAAGTTACTGAAGTGACTGCATAGGATAGCATTTTTAGTTAGCTGGGTATCCTTTACAGGAGGTTGCAGAACCAACCTCAGCTTTTATTGGCTGTTGTAGTTTTTCTAGGCAAATTTTACATTTAGTAGTTTGCCACTGCTACTGAACAGTCAGTTCTCAGTACTACTGTGGAAACAAGCACAAGGCAAATTGTTCGCAGCAGGGATCGAACCCTGCACCCTGGCATTACGAAACATGTTCGCAATGCCTAAGCCACAGACGACAATAGAATAGAATGGAGAAATATGCTGTGAGCCCTGTGACATATAATGGCGAAGAGGACAGGAGAATGAATGAATGAATTATCAAGTGAGTATTTCTTGATGAATCCTACAAAATGGGGTGGGGGGTGCAATTTTACAAACAAAGGGACTTGCCACACGATGATGATCAAGATGAATTGTATCAAAACTGATTAAGGAACTTAATATAAATATAACATTAACACAACTGTAATCAACTCAACCATAAAATTATAATTACACATATCATAAGAGGGAACTAAGGAGGGTTGGCTCAACCACATTCGTTAAATTAATATTATAGTTGGATAATCTTGTAATCCAACAAACTATGAACTATGGTCTGCAACAACAAAAAATTTTTCTTTATGAGATGAGTAATAATCAGGTACTGGAAAGTAAGTAAGTTTTACCCAACGAGGACATCACACAGAGCGATAAACACCCGGTGACACAAAGTGCCACCATTCATTCAGATGAGGATCAAATGAGGAGAGGTCCAAGAAACCCTGATCAACTGATTGGTTTTATCAGGGTCCCTGGCACAGCCAGGGTGGGGCTTCAAAATAACGAAAAACTGCCTCCAACAAGTGGACGACAAATATAGCTAGGTACTGGAAAGTCAAAGAGAAGAAGGAGAAGTCAATTTTGCTATGAAGCTGAAATTAAACTAGGATTACCAGATTACCAGATTGCCAATACTATACTAGCGGCAATAGTACTACTGGATTTCATTCTGTTAACTATTAAATTAATATCTTACTAACAGAGCAGATCATGATTTATGCTTATGCTTGTGATATAAATAATGAACTACACTGACTGAGGACATACTCGGAAACGAAACGATCTAATATCAGCTAGCTATTCTATCATCATTATTTAATAATTACTTATCAATATCAATAACCAATCATTCGAATAAATTTATTTACCATTCCCTAGCAAGATTTTTGTAAGCTTTTTTAATTTCCTGACCGCTCGCACTTCTGGGCACACCGAGGACGTCGTAGAGATCTTCTGCGGCAAGCGAATGTGAAAATAAACCAAGTAAAACAGGTACAATAATTAGATTAACAATCATTTTTGTTCATCTCAACTGGATAATTAAAAAATTAATAAGTCCGACATAACTGCGTCCGGTGGGGATCCAAGTTTTTACAGTTACCTTTAAGCGACGTAGCATTGGAGTTTCGCATTCTTTGTGTTTGCTGTCGTAAATAAAGATAGTGTAAAACCGGCTTTTTTTTTTAGTCGTAAGGTGCAGGTACCCACCAAAATCAACAAAGAAATCTCAATTGACAAGGGGTGTCATACGCAGAAACAGACCAGTATCAATGGAGATCACTTGTTAATGCTTTACGCGTAACGACGATATGCAGAGGAAAGAGAAAACGAGACTCACCAAAATGTATATTTAGAAGCTTCATGACTCACCACAAAATTTATATCACAGTGATGCCGAAAAAATGCATATAAAACAGGTGCCAGTACTGCGAACCGTTGTGTACCGCTAGAGAGGAAAAATCATCCATAGAACGAAATGAAGTTACCTGCAGGTAACGCTATAAAAGTCTGAAAAATATGAAGGGGGTACAACAATAAATAAACAATAAAAAAATGTATTTACAAAATATAAGCTTTACATCCCCGTATGGGTTCCGGGACCCCATGTTGGGGGAAAACAAGAATAGACCCACTGCCTCCTTAACAAGCATGTCCTAACGGTTGACTAATTGGGGGTTTCCTTCGAAGTAGGAGTGCATCTGTCTGAGAGGCTAGAAACCAATAATCTACATACAAGTGAAACACTCAGGTTCTGGAACAAGACTAATATCCAGAGGTGGACGAACAACCAGAACTTTCTGCCAGAGTTTACAGCTGGTGAACGCGAAGAAGAAAAAGATCAGCTTTGCAGAACCAGTTGCAGCAATTAGCCTTCATCAGCAGCACAAAGACGAGAACGTAAAATTAAATAGAGCTATTATGCTGCTGCTAAAACTATTAATTACTAATATAATTTTTGCTGCTGCTAACTACTGCATATAATCCTACTTTTACTGTTGCTTTTTTTTAGCTACTATATTACATCCAATAATACTTTTACTGTTGTTACTACTAGTTACAGTACTGCTATAAATTTTAGTAATATAACGTTTATGGTTACTGTTTTTCGGAAATGACTAAATTATTACAGAGCCGCTGTGACGAAGATGAGGATGACGTTCAACCACACCAGGACTTCACACTGAGCGATAAACAGTCGGTGACACAAAGTGCCACCATTCGGATGAGGATCACCCGGGGACAGGTCCCAGAAACCCCGTTTAACTCATATGTTGGGTATATTAAAATCCCCGGCAACAGCCAGGGAGGGGCTTTACAATAACAACAAAATTGCGTCCCAAAATTGCGTCCGACATTGAGACGAAGGCATTGGGACATAGCAGCTAGATTTTCGCCTTAAGCCCGAAGATCGTGTTATTTTAAATTCGCATCAAGTCAGATTTTTTTTTTCTTTCAAAAATGATCTTGGCTCCCAACTTCGACCCAGCCTTAATGGATATTAAGTAAAGACGGCCGGCGTGATGTTGACCACATCACCCAACGAGCGCCGATATGTATATACAATGTAGGTTTAGCACTATAAATCCAGTACGCCTTAAGTTGTGGGTAAGCCCTTAACGTTACTTTGTCTAATATTACGGTTACTGTTGCTGCTACTTACAACTAGCTACTATTTATTATTCTTATTTTACCCCTGCAACTAGATTGGCAGGTCCCTTGCTCAACAACAATAAATTGTCATTTTCAACCAGCATCCCCGAAAGAAGGTTATAATTGTGACTAGGTTATGTGTTCCATATAAAATGGCCTAGCATTGCACGCACAAGAGACATGAACAGGACTCCTACAGTGTTGATGTGATCAAATGAGACAAACCCAAATACTGTCCCGACGGGCGACGAAAACGTCTACCAGTGAGAAATGAGCGACCCAGTCGCTGCTGTATTCCTGCAACTACTACAACTAATATTGCTTTTCTTGTTGCGGTTTTTACAACCATAATTACTGCTGTCAGTGCTACGACTACTACCACTATTCCTGCTACTACTACTACTGCTGCTGCTGCTGCTGCTGCTGCTACGGTCGCTGTCGTTGCTTAGTAACTACATCTTTGTTCACCAGCTGAATGTTCCGTTATAAAGTACTGGCTGTTCGTCCATTTTGGATTTTGGCTTTGTGCCAGGGCCTGAGTTTTGCGTATTCATTCGTTGTCCTGGCTTATTTGTTTGCAATTGATTGTTCCTTGCCTCTTGGGTAGATGCATCCCGACTTCCAAAGAAGTCACCCTTTTAGTCGACTCCTACGACATGCTTGTTTGAGAGGCATGTGTATTTTCCTGTCCCCCCCCCCGCCCCCACATTGGGGCCCCGGACCCCACATGTGGAACCAAAAAACCAACAATTTGGAAAGCAATAGAAAAAGAAATAATGAGTAATTTAGAAACAAGTCGAAGGGAAAATTATTGATACAATGGAGCACTGGGGGTGGGGTGAGGTTGGAGGGATGGGGACATAGACTGGTCATCATCTGTGGCCAGGTCGCCCATTGGCTCGCTGACAGTATTTGGGTCCGTCTCCTTTGATCACATATCAAAGGGAGACAGAACAAACAGGAAACACCAAGAAAGAAGAAGGAAGACATGCACCAGTGACAACAGGACGAGCGGTTTGATTCGGATGGAAGCATCAAGCCCAGAAATGGCACAAACACTAAAATTCAGTCACGAAAGTGACGCAAATAACCCAGACCACGAATATAGGCGGAGACTGCTAGTAGCCTAGGCTAGCTAGCAGCAGTCTGAACGTGGTCGAGCTTTTCTTTTTTTTCTCAGAAGGACTTGGACTTGGACTTGGATCACATCAACACTGCGAGAGTCCTTTTCAAGGCCATTTGGTGGGGTGTGAGATGCTAAACTATTATATATGGCGCAATAACCTAGTCTCAGTTTTAACATAAAGCTCTCCTTTCAGGGATGCTGGTTGAACGTGACGATGTTATTTTAGATTGGTCCTTGAGATATGACAAAGGTGGGATAATTTGGCGCGAGTTAGAGCGGTAAAGGACAGAAGAAGGAACTCTAATTTATTCAAAGATAGTGCAAGGAGACTATTGCCTTTATTGTCACTTGAGACAGGAGTGTTCCCGAATCTTGGAATCAATTAATTATTTTTTTAAAAATTGACGTCACTGCACTCGGGACATTCCATGTGCTCCGTCCCCTATTTCAGTAGCCAATGAAGAGTCGTCATGCTTATAGTACCAGCTGTAGTCTGATTAAAAGTCCACTCATGCTCCCCCTCAGTGTTGAATATCTTTCAGAACCTCTACTGCGCGGTACCTGGGATGCCCATACCTTAAGGAGTACAGGAGAGCACTGACAGCTGCTGCCTACAAAGACATCCCTCACCCAGGAGCGAAATAATTACCAAACACCCAGATCTCAGGAAACCATAGAAGTCACAACTAAGCTTTGTGACGAGATCTCCACCCTAAAAAGTGAAATCAAGCCCCCCCCCCCCCCCCCCCCCCCCCCCCCGAGAGGAAGAGGCAGCCACCAAATCCCAGCGAGATCGAGACAGGGACGAAATTACAGAGCTAAGAAGCCTTCTGCAAGTATCCTTCGAGACCCAGTAACGTTTCTAGGAGGAAATTGCTGACATGGGCAAATTAAAGTGTGACCTCCTAGCAGTCCTGAACAAACTCGAGAAGCGGAGCAAAGCGCCGAAGCCACCAAAAGGGAAGAGACCAGACTAGCCCAACAGATCGTCGCCCAGACCCTTCTCTCTTCCGAAGTCGCAAATATGAAGAAGGTAATAGAAGCCAAGTTAAATAAAACCACTGAAGAAAACGCTTAGCTATGAAATGAGCTGATAGCTACCAACAAAGTGATTGAGACAAGAGAGAACACAAGGAAGGAAGCGGAGAGAAGACAGCAAGTCCATACACTCAAATCAAGGGAAATCAACAAACACCCCCCCCCCCCTCTCCCCCCAGCAAAGAAGAGAAGAACCTCATGCAGGAATTGGAAGATGTCAAGGAAGGAATGAATGAAAACTTCGGAGTAATGTTTAAAGAAGTTAGACATCTCAAGGAGGCCACCCGACAACTGCAACTAGAAAGCATCAGGAACAACAAAAAGAAAATAGCTAACCACGCACAATAAAACAAAACTCACGCAGCGAAGTAAACAGATAAGTGTGATAACACACAAACACCAAGAAACAAACCCACTAATGTAATAAACCCAATCCGCCATGACAGCCCAACTAACCAGCTCGCCGGACCGAAGAAATCCTGCAGCTCGAGACCAGCCAGGCATGATAGTCTACACCCGAACCACTCCCACCATACCCAGTGCCACCCCAGGCAAATAGTCTGTCCTTTTCAGGACAGGCCGAGATCCCTTTCCTGCATACAGAAATCGGAATAATAAAGACTTAGGCGGAATAAAACGCCACAAGTAAAAAATGGAAGACAATTGGAAACTTAATTCCAAGCAATAAAACACAGCCTTCGACAGAACCGCGGCTCAACTTAGGAGCTGGTTACAAGAAGAGAGAATCTTTATGTGTTTTTTTTTTTACTTCCACCATGCCCCCCCCCCCCCCCCCCCCCCCCCCCCATGCGGCCAATGCGGTTTTGAATTCAAGATGTTCAGCCCATGTGGGTATTTTCAAGAATTAAATTAAATTAATTTTTTAACATAGTAACTATAACTATCTCTCTATCAAAATAGCCAGAGCGCTGTAAGAACAACGGAAGGTATGACAGACTGGTTCCCCATTACATCAGGAGTACGACAAGGATGTGTCCTATCACCCCTACTCTTCATCACATTTATGGATAAAATTGCACCGGAGTCAAACCAAAACACAGATATTATAAATGAACTTCTCTTTGCAGATGACCAATGTTTGTTACAAGAAGAAGAACAAAATCTACAACAACATGTTGATTCATTGCTCACTAATTGTACAAAATTTGACATGAAAATAAACACCTCAAAAACTGAAGTAA